TACATCAAAAACCAAAATCGATTTTGTCGACAACCGGGTTTCCGTAAAAATTCGCTTTTTTTCCTTAATTTTTTTGTTTGTTTTTCCTGCCGCTTTTGAAAGCTATTGAGAATTTTTTACTTTTGACCCTTCTAAGTACCGATACTATTCACTTTTCTACCAGAAAAGATGCTTGTTGAAGAAAATCTAAGCACTTTTACTCTCCCAAATTAATGTGATGACAGAAACAAAAAAAATAAAAAAATAAATTGTAAATACAATACATTCATCGCTCCGCTCGGAATCTAAAAGAAGTTAAAAAGTTAAATTTGACATAGCTTTAACTTTTTAACTCTTATTCTATCTTTCATTTGAACACCTATGTCTATTATTGCATTACTATTTATTATATTATATAAAGATACTAGTATAAAAGTATAATATTTTTCATAATCACTCGTGCGAGTTGATTACTGGTTAGGATAGTGAGTTTACCACTCTGTGAACATTTTTGTTTTTTAGATACAACTATAATATAATGTAATATTAATATATAATAGAACAAAGAAATATATATAACACTAAATTAATAGTGTCCTGTAACTGCTAACTATGGATTTAAAAAAATTATAAGTTATAAATTAAAATTGTGTCTTATGAGTAATCACTTATAACGGGTATTTCTAAATTAAACTGTATAATAAATGTTTATATCAAGTAGGTACTAAAAAATAGGTTATAATTATAAAATTACCCTACGATCAGGGAGCAGAAAAACGACGACGACGAGCGGCGTTTGTATATTATTTGATCTCTCGTATTTTATGCATTTGCTCTCAGAAATAATGTGTCTACATATTGGTAGCATATTATTTTTCACGAAATTAAATTTTTATTTGAAGTATAAAAAATAAATGTAAGCACCAAAAATATATGAAACCAAAATTAATTACTTTAAACGTCGACGTTTTCGGGCTTCGGCGGAATTCCTGATATTGCTTGTGCACTGCTGAATAAATCAGATATACGACTGAACTTAAGTCTGAAAATATTGAGATTTATTATGAAAAAAAAAATCGTACGGATCGCTTCATGTTTCTTGTTCATGTTTGCAACTTTGCTGACTGAAATTTTAGATCGATTGCGTCTTTGCAACTACTTCGACAATCGCCACGGATTACATTATAATTTATACTACGTCAATATGATAAAACCATAGATATATAGTATATTACGAAATTGTGTATCAAGGAAGTCCGTGCTCGAGATTTAATCATTAAGATAATGAAATGAGGTATAACAATAACCAAAATAGTTTATAATTTTAAAATTTAAGTTTCAACAATATATTATAAAGTACCTATTATTTTAATTTTTAATTTAATAATTAATTAAGGTGGTGTTTAAATATTCAAAGCACAAGCATATTTATTTATGAGTTATTAAATACAAATCTTCTTGTGAATATATGTGATTACTACTTTTTAGATTTAACATAAAGGTTAGGTTAACTGAAGTTTGTAAAATTCCAAGTCAAATCTTTAGAGCACGAAATGAATAATTGATATTTTATATATTAATTTTGAGTGCATTTGTTAGGTATATTTTGAGCTATTCGAGAATATTTAAAATTTAAAATGTCCCTATTTAATTTCCGATAACATTCAATAATCAGCAGAGCGACTTTCCCAGCTTTATGAAATAATTTGATGCGTTTGATGTACGACGGCGTCACTAATTCGTGGTTTGACCACAAACAGGCGCATAGAAATATTCATATATTACTCAACATATATATAAACTAAAAATAAAAATTGTTGAATTTTGCGGGACATAAGAACTCCCGTGTACTGTACTACTGTAGTATTACTAGTATGTACAACACTATTTATATCTATTTAATTGTATAAATACGTTATTATTAAACAGTAGCAAATTGTCTGTGACCATAAATTTTAATTTTGAGTCCAAAAAGTAAAATATGTAAGCCCCAAAAGAATAGGTAATCAAACTTACGTATACATCGACTCTTCTGGTAATATATATAGCTGCAATGCCATATCTTGAGTGCTGACGCCATATCGAAGAACTTCTGTCTTCATCTAACCCGAACTGAAAAAATCGAGTTTTTTTTAAAAAATTACTTGAGTAGAATGAAATATGTGAGCAAATGTTAATTGTTGCCTTACACATTTCTCTTTTGTTCAATGAAATTATTAGAATTGTGAATCGTCTCCGACGAGTGGCGACGATCGGCTTTTGCCACGGATGATAGATATTATAATATAATATGTTGTTATCAGTTTTCGCGTTTTAGAATCCTTTGGATGACAAGATACATTTTTTATTTCGGATTCCGAAACATAATATTATTCGGTTAGGTTATACAATTCAGAACACGAAACTCTGCGTACAGGCCATTTAGATACACTAATGTCGCGAGTCAATTTTTTTTTGTCCGGCATCTCACAATGTTGTTTTTAGTCTTAACGGTTAAACTATAACTTAATATAAAACTCTAGAATAAGTGTCGAGACATGAAAAAAATTCAAAATTAGGCTTTGAAATTTACAGAAGTAATAAAAAAATGGATACTTTAATCGTGAATATGGTATTCTGTCTGGGCTCGGCATTAATATGTTATCAAACAATATTATTCTGTAATAGTGTGGAGTATTTGCTAAAAAAATGTGTGATTATATTATACTACTACACTTTAGTGTAATAAATACGTCGAAAACTATACCAAGTCCAACAATAATTTTAAAATCATCATTCTGCAATCTCAACGATTTGGAGCTTAGTTTGAAAGAATACAGTGAAGTAAAAAAACTAAATGCACAGAACTAAACTGTTTGGGATTTTTAAATGTAACGAGAGTTCTGGGAAATCATTTATTTATTGAAACAGATTAAATTACTGAATATCAAGAGTATATAATCATTGGCTGACTTGCAGTGTAGTCTGGTAATTGACAATAACAGTTATTGTATATAATTATTATTTCAAAATAATATATTATTTAATTAATTGTTTTAAATAATTTTTGAATATTGAAACAGACTGGTAGCGGAAAATGGTTTTGATGTATCGATCTGACGTTTTATAATAAATGACGAGAACCATAAACCACGATTTCTAACTTTAATAATTAAAAATTAATTAATTAAATTTAAAATTAATACAATTTGAAGATCTGAAAAACACAATCTATTTATTAGCAAAACAAAATAAAAATTGTTATTAATTAATGTGAGCTCTTATTTGATGGCCATGAACTTATAATATTCAATAACCCATGTTCCTACAAATTTAGATTAAAAAGAATAAATAAATTTAAAAAAATATATTATTAATTTATATTTATTGTAATATTACTATGTATTAAGATTATGAGGGTAAGAAACAATTATTCTATATTAAACTTATATTAAATAGTAGCCCGATATATATTCTGTAAAATACTTCTGTAAGTAGTATATTTCAATTGTGTATTACATAATATAATTTTAAATTATACTATAAACTATATACCTACGTATAAACACCAATGATTCGTATGATTTTTTTACTCGAAATTATAAATAAGTTAGCGGCTATTTGCAAAATGTTAGCAGCATATTTCAATTCGTAGCTCAAAAGGTGGTGTAGCGTGAAGTTAAGTTGCCCCCCATCTTATATTTTTCATACCTTGTAGGTAATTTATCTGCAAATTCTGAAAACCAATTAGCATATTATTGGTAGTATCTTGAAACCACTAGCTACATATTGGGAGGCTTCGTGAAGTTGGCCTACCCCTGTCTTATTTTTTTTTTATTCCTGGCAGGGAATTTATTTGCAAAATGATAACATAACTTACAAAAAATCTGCTCATGGTGTTGAAGCCTCCCATATTTTTCATGTTTTGTCCGGTTTTTTTTTACATATTTTTTCCTAGTTCCAATGATTATACATAGTATAAAGCGTTATGGGAGCGTTATGGGAGTCGTGAGAGTTAGAGAAGGTAACCGGAGTCTAAGATTGACTGAGGAAGAATAAACCCAGAAAAAGCCCACAAGGCTTTGAAAAGTTTAATGTCTTTTGCTACATCATACTCATCATTTTATAGACCGGATTTTCCGAGTTGACTGTAATTAAAATTTTTTTCGAACGTGAACGTCAAGAAGAAGATGAATATAGTTATTTCTAAATTAGAATCAAGATTTGAACATGGCATGAAACAAGCTCATCCATCTCACTAAATATAAATTTAAAATTTAAATTATTTCATTTCATTTTTTCTGTATTGCCTATTTATTTGTAAACTGTTTAATACAGTTGCGTGATGAATAAATAATTAGTATAATATATCATAATTTTTTTCTTATTCCTAATTTGGAAGCTACCAAAATATTGTGAAGATTGAAGACATAAAGGAGCCGCGAGCCGTGGGCAAAAAAAGTTTGAATACCTCTGCTATATACTTTATTTATACTTGCATGTCTTATAAATATTACTTGTGCACTTCATAATATGTATAATATATAGTTATGTATTTGTGTGTGTGTGTTTGTGTGTTATATCATAGGTAAACATTTTATAGAGGTGGTAGTTATTTTTGGCCACATTAAATCTGGCAGACTACTAAAGTTTTACTAGTTATCATTAGTTTATTTAGTTTAGTACCTAGGTAATCAAAATATGAACTACTTACTAGGTTATAATGATGTCGACATGTCGTATTGTAGTAGTAGGTACTAGGTGGGTACCTACAAGTGACGACCGCCGAGATGGGAAAAGGCTTACGTTCCTATTAGTAATGACAAAATTATGACGATGTGCATAACATTATATTTATTTCGTGTGGAATTAACATTAATTTATTGTATACATGACACATGTGATAATCACTAGCTCACTTGTACAATACAATCAAGTTCGATAACATGCACACGATAATATAATAATAATAATAATAATGATAATGATAAATATATTCTATCTCGCGAACAACATAATAATATCATACACAACACGACATAATAATAAAATAACACGTTAAAATATTTATAAAAAAAAAATAGTCTAGCAAATATAAAATATTATAGTATAATATTATGTATACGCAATTAAAATAAATATGGGGAGGACCGCAGTGGTAGTGCCCAGGTCAGTTTTCTGTGCAGTCGTTCACGTTTGACCGTTTACGATGGTTGTCCGAATTTGGGCTCCGAGCACTCTCGTAACCGTCTCGGGCGTCCACTCCACCAACACCTCCACCACCTCCACAACCAGCTGCGCGAGTTCTCTTGGCAGCCGCAGATTCACTCCCGCATATGTCGATGTTGGGTATGAACAGCCGCAGAGCGTTCGGTCCGGTTGGAAACTCTGTCGCGGTAAGCTGGTCGACTGCTGTCGTCGTGTGGGTGATCCCGAGTTTGGCGACTGGGTTCATGGTTACCTCCAGCGACCGTTTGGTCACTACTTCCTGGTGCGTGTCGAACGCCTTGACAAGCTGGGCTACTGAAAACCTATGGTGGACAGAACATAAAACGTGACACGGTCAGTCATTAATTTTAATGTGTTGTTATATTCTGTAATAGCTTATTCCTACTTTAATAATAATTCTGTATATTCCTGTAACAGCCTTTTCGGGAATTCCCGAAAATACAAAAAAATTGTTAAAAATTTAAATTTTTTGGGTCATTATTTGCTATGATTATAGATCAGTGGTTTTGGCTTCAAAGACCGCGGACATCATGCAATCCAACCCTTTAACAAATTGTGTGCAGCCCACACTAAAGCTATGAATTATTGTACGTTCTAAAATCCAACACTCTACACTTTTAAAGAGTAAATAAAATGAAATATTTATATTGAAATAACCTTTTTTTTAAACATTTATAACTTTTAATTATTATCATTGAAAATGTAAATAGGAATTAGGAATCTTTACTGTCCAAGAAAAAAATACGTCAAACGAAGACTCTCTTTATTTTTGGATAAATATTATTTGCAAATCAAATTTATTTACTTCGTGGGGCACGCGAGTAACTTTCAAAAATAATTTTTGGCCATTTTTAAAATCCTAATGTTGGCCCAGGAACCGTTGTCATAGATTGTCACGTTTCTTGATTTATGAGTCTTTTAAATAAATATATCGATTTCCCTAACATCGGAAAATATAGCATCGATTACCCCTTACCAAGAATCCCCTAGAAATGATGCCGTCGGGAATTGCGCATAATATGTAGCTTATTTAATATAGGTAGTAGGTACTAAGTGTCCCTTTCCGCTGTCAGACCTTTACAGAAGGCTATGATGATAATTTCAAAGTTATGTCACGGAAACGTTTTTGAACGGGTCTTTGAACTTATCAGTGTCATAATTATTCACAAAATTGTTTGTTATAGCCTACAACTATAATATTATTTATTTTATCGGTGAGCGCATTATGATTGCAATATTTTTGATATTTTTTGGTTGGCGCCTTTATCAAACTGTAAATATATTGTGACTTTTTATTAGAATTTTTTGTTTTTATATGACACTCGCACTAACACAATATGTTATCGTTGTACACTTGTACGCGTCCATTAATAAATTATTCGTCCTGCATCATATCGGTTAAACGCTCGAAAAACAAATTAATTTCAGTTTTATTAGGTAGGTATGTAGGTACTTACACATCAACATGGTTTTTTTTTAGAACCTTGACATATTCATTTACGCTTAACTCTAGAGGCGTAGAGCGTATGAAAGTGTTGGTTTTGTTAGTTCGTAACAATAATATTATTTGTTCGTTTTTAATGGGTTTCATATGTACTTATATAACTTATCCAGATCATCTTGGAACTCCACAAATTCAAATTTAAAGAAAAACACCAGTCTAAAAACTATATTATACTGAGAAAAATATAGTTTTTGTGCCTCGGTTTTTTTGCCGAGCGCTAAGATTAACTGGATGGGTTATAAATGGTATTGAAAGCGTTTTGGTTACTTGATAAAACGCGAATTTAAAAACATAAAACGTGCACGTTTCACGTGGGACGGCGGTAAAAGTATTATTTACTTTCAATTTAAAACTCGAGTATTCCATCATAACATTATACGCACGGCGTGTATATAAATAATACGCATATAAAGCTTGCCGTCGACACTCCACTTTAGAAAGTAGGGTGGGTGCCCATCGACGTTATGTGAAATCAATATACAAAAATATTAATCGATTTTGCACTATCATCCGGCAGTTGCTTAAATCATAATTATCACGATTGAAGTTTTTTCTTCATTGGACACTTTCGAAAAAAACAATAGTGAACATACGTAACAATATTGTTTTAATAACACACAATAATATAATATTATTTGCGATGCACATATATTACAATAATATCAATATAATTAGTATGTTGTGGAACTATATTGCAATGAATTACGTCGCTATCCGTTTGCTGTATTATTATTAGTTATTACTATAATTGATGGAAGGGACAATTTCGAAAGTCGAGCATTCTTCATTCGTGCCAACGATGTTCCATCTATTCGTATTAATATGGTGAATCTAATATTTTTAAAAGACAAAAATGTATGTATGTAGTAATTGGGCAGTATATAGGCATCCATGGTGGACGACCGGAAAATACGAAAAGTGTATCATTTTAGTTTCCAATGAAGTTGAAGTACCTTTTTATACTCCATGTATCTGGTAAAAAATATGTTTTATAGATTTAAGGTACATAGATTAGTATATATATATTAGGGCTTTGTAAGCGCCTAGCGCAGATTGACTTCAGCCGTGCTCCGCTGCGTAAATAATAATATTATGATTATCGCAACAATAATTGGAATACGTCATAATCAATGTAACTCATTTAATAGCAACAAGTGATTTTTTTTTCAGACTGATGTATATAATAATATACAATATGAATCGTACTTGTATTGATCGTTTAATTAAATTTTATCTGCAACGCAACTTTTGGAATTTTGGAATTACTTTTGAAAGATTTCAACCCCAGGTCACTCCACCCAAATTTCACTATCTTAAATATTATTCTTATTAGATATTATCACTGTCGTCTGCAGTCTGCATGACGGATTTACCTAGGCTCTTCGTCGGAATGGTAAAAGTGTTCTACACTGCTGGTGCCGCTGGTACTACTGCCGGCAGGAGACCCGGATCGTGGTGCGTAGTCCGGCGTCGAGGTTACCGTGGTCGTGGTGGTTGCGGTCGTGGTAGTGGTGTCGACAGGTCTGGTGGTGATTGTGTTGGTGGTGTTGAATACTGCAGAGGTGGTTGTGACAGCCGTTTCGATGTCGCGATCACCGTTTCTCGTTGTGCAATTTTCTCTGTCGTCTTCTGACACTAAGCCCTCGGGTATGTGGCTCTGCGATACGGATATATTGGTGGTAGACGAGCACAACGAGTTGGGGAGCGTAGAGACACCAGTGAGACTCATCAGCAGGCTGCCGACCGTGGCTATTTTGTCCACTTCGCTCAGGTCCTTGATGCTTTTGCACATGTCCAGCACGTCTTGAGACCGGGACAGGCTCTTGAGCCCGTACAGCTTCTCTTTGGACTTGCTGAACGTCCGGGTGCCATTCCGTGACCTCGACACCAGTGACGTGTGGCTCTCGCACATCCGACTGGACGCGTACTGAGACTCATGCAACATGGATGACCTCTTCATGTCACTTTCCCGCATGTGCTTCGACACGATCCGCTCGAAAAGTGCTTCCCGAGACTTGGACAGGTATGAAGGTTGCAGTCCACCACCTCCACGTCTAGCACCCGTCGATGGCGTAATGCCCGCACACGTATTGCAACCAGTGCGTTTCGTGACCGATGGCTGTTGGTGTTGTTGTTGGTGGGGCTGTTGATGTTGATGGTAATTTTGTTGGTGATGCTGGTGATGGTTCACGGAATGGCTACTGCCGGATGAAGACTTGCGGAGATTTGCCAGCCACGGGTGTTTCAAACACTCTTTGGCTGTCAGCCTCTCCCTGGGATCTTTGACCAACAGCTTTCGAATGAAATCGACCGCCTCCCCTGACACGTCCTCAAAAAGCTCGTCCGGGAAGTCGATGTCTGCATTTGATATGTTGCAGAACGTCTCCTGGTCCGTGTCGCCACCGAACGGACTGAACCCGGTCAACAATGCGTAAGTAGTCACACCAAGCGACCTACAACAATACACGCAAAAATAATTATACGTAAATTAATAATTATTGCTGTTTGAAGAATGTCGGGCTAAATAATTGCAGAACATGTTAAGATTCGAAAAACAAATTCCAGTTAATGTGTAATGGATAGTGAGAATAATCTATAATTTATTCGAGTCTAGTATATATTTTTAAATCTCGTTTTAACTGTTGTAATTTATTATGACATAATTATTTGAAACAATGGTCAATGATGTCTTTTTTAAAAAATTTTGCTCGGGGGCTAGGATCAGTGGAAAATCTAACCTTATGACTAATCTAGGTATATAGTATAAGCAAATTACTCACCACATGTCTGCGGCCAACGTAATTGGTTCGTAATGGAGGATCTCTGGAGCTAAAATCACAAATTTTGATTAAATTTATATTTCGAATATTATTTTTCTAATATATTATATTTTATAGTAAATTAAATTATTTTGCAGAAATCGTTTTTAAAACGGTTTACTCACCAACGTAGTCAGGTGTGCCAAGGATTTCTCGGATTTCCGTACCCTCCAGAATCACTCGGGATATTTCGAAATCACAAAGCTTGACGTCGCAAGTTGGGAATACACCCATTAACACCAAATTTTGAGGCTGTGAACATCGATATTTGTAAATGTTAATCACGGGAAAGTTTATAACATAATATTTTATATTCGGATAGACATTGCTGTGTGTCGTTGTTAGTATAATATTATGGTAAATATTTTCGAAGTCGGTCACGAATTAAATTTATGATATATCGTCTATATTAGCATACTCGGCCTCAACAATACCAAACAAGAAACGGCATATTAATATAATGTTAATTCGATATTAATAATAATGGACCATATTATGGATTTCCTGCCGGTCGGAGCTGGTCCTTGATCCAGGACTATATATCGCGATATCGATCTCTATAGAGTCTATATAGAATCTAGATCGTGACGGTCGCCGCGTCAGTTCGTTTGTTCGTGGGTGGCCTAATGGATTTTAAAGCACGTGTACGGCACATACGCACACCTCATTTGGACCTGGACCGTTCCAGGAAACCAACGTGTCACCAACGCCATAATATTTACGGATTATTTTATTCTTTTTTTGGATAAATATGTAGAAAAAACCTTGGCGCACGTTTTGCCGCCGCACTCACTTTGATGTCTAAGTGAGCGATTTTCCGCTGGTGCATGTACGCCAAACCTTCGACCACGTGGTGTATGAACTTGACCGCATCGGCTTCAAATGGCACATTGTCGTCATCGATGACTTTCTGAAGATCACCTCCCGGAGCGCTAAAAAAAATGGAAATCGTTCATTTGTACCACCGTCAAAATAATAATAGTCATAGTTGTATTGATTGTAATTGTGAATAAAAAAATAAAATAATAAATCATCCGCACTATTCCATGACTATGATCAACTGTTTGGGCGTTTGAAACACATCATGCAGTTTGGTTATCCGTGGCGACGGCGAACACAGCGACAGCAAAGCTATTTCGTGATGGATGTCGGGACTGCAGTCTTCTCCGAATCTCGTACGGTTTGAGAATTTGGCTGCAAACACTTCTCCCGTTTCGATCGAAGTGCACCGTCTGACTGAAGCGAATTGACCCCTATAAAATAAAATAAAAACGATACTGAATTTAATATTTAGAAAAAATTCATATGTTATGTTATAGGTACTACACAATAATAAGTATCGAATATGAATTTGGACGGATTACGTGAACTGTTTCGAATGTCAAATTGGTATATTATAATATTATAAACGCATTTATCCTGCGTACAAAAACGATTAGCCATTTTGCTAAAATTTAGTTTTATTCAATTATAAAGCCATAATAATTCGATGAATTTAAGTTGAAGAGTGAGTTGTTTTTCTTTTGCTCAACGTCACATTATTATATTAAATAAAGTTCGTGACGCAAATATGAAAAAAAAAACAAATACTAACGCACACACTCGTATGGTTGCGACGTGGTGTTGAAAAGCATTACAACAATTATAATAAAAACGATTTGAAGAAGATTCGCGACAATTTTTTTATGGCTCGCAATATCTACTGCGGCCTACGCGTATGTACTGCAGTTACCGAGAATTTCGCGATCGGCCAAGACCAAGGACGACAATATAATAATAATATAATGACAACACGCGTCGACGCGTCGTACACTAAACAATGGACATAAGTACGCGTCGCAACATTTTTAATGATCGTCCGGAAAATTGTTATTAAAAAGTATATTATAATAAAGTGTTCGTAGTTTCGTACTGATACGAGAATATTGCGATGTATTGATATTCGATTGTCGGATAATTATTTGCGGGGCTAGAAATGTCCAAAATTTGATTTTTCACATAAATTATATTTTTAATGAAACGCAATAAATTAATCTAAAAGTTAGTAATAAATTTCACTCGTGGTTAGAGTTTGGAGAATTGCTAAAAAGAATAGAAGTCTTCTGGTAATATTGGAACCAATGGTGCTTATTTCAGCACCATAGGAACTGATATTTTAAGAGTAGATCCTTAGAATTTTAGAATTTTACTTGCTTTAATTGTTTTTTGATTTTGATTTTTTTTTTGGTCATGTATTTATTATATCGCATCTAGTTAAAATCGGTATTCAATTTTAATATATTTTGGAAAATCGCATTGAACATTCGTTCTTCTAGGAATCTAATAAAGTTGGGATAAAAAAAAATAACTTTGAATATTAGATTATAATAGCTTATAAATATATTGCACTCGTTCATATAGATCATATTTTTATCATGTTGTGGTGAAGCTATACATCATTTGTATATTCGTCACCACGACAGGCGTATAACAAAATAATTTGAGTTGATCTTCGATGACTCATAGTAATATTGGACGATAAGTCGGTCTAGAGTACGAACACGATTTTCTAGCCAAAAAATTCGGATAGCTGGATAAGTGTAAGTGACCAAAAGATGATTCATTTCTATATTTTTCGTTGGTTTATAAATCACATTTCGTCGACGCAGAATCGCCCAGCCTTACCTCTGATGTACCATTAATTTTTTATATATCCGCTGTAGTACTCTACGGCGGTCGTTGCTGAAGATTATCTCTATATATGTAGATACGATCAGACGACGAAGATCGCGTGCGTTCGCAATATTTACGACGTGGCGCCGTGCCAAAGACCTACGTAGGTGTCATGCGCCGAGGTAGAAGCTCGTGATATTTTATCGCGAACGCCCAAAATTTTTTCTGGGTGGGATCGTCATCGTATTATCATTTATTCATTTATCGTACGGGCTTAGTGACCACAGCATGACATTAAAGTAGTATACATGGCTATTTATTCTTGATTCACAATAATCTCGAGTAAAAAAAAAAAAGATGTAGAGATTACAAAATATTTATGTATTCACGATACAAGACCAGAGATAATACGCTTAGATATGACGTCGCAACGGTGTAATAATTTATATTTAGGTACTAATCAAAAACTATAAACAAATAATTTAATGCAAATGCGACTTTAAGGGGGGTATGTATTCAGTAGTGGACCATTGTGGCGTAATCATGGATTGTCAGGGTATTATAACACCAATTATTGGCCATTTTTTTAAACTGCTAAAAAATATCAAACCGCTTGATACTATTTTTTATTTAAGTTCTTATGTGAGCGAACAATTGGAGGTGACCACTGCGAGCATAAGGATTGCGTTCTACCTTTAGTCATTATTCAGATATTTTTTTTCGTGTTTAGATTTTGAAAATACAATTTTTTATCATACCTAACTCTTGTCTTGCACTCCGTTGTTTTATAACAAACCAGAAGATATTTATGATATGCTGTAAAAAAATGTGAATAAAACTTTAATGTGCGTTATAATATAATATTATAAATGTATTTTAACATTTAAGTTGTTCTGTTCCTAAGTATTCTTAAGAAAAAAATGTTTATCCTCCCCTACCCCAATTATATAGCCTAAATGTCATCGCTCTTGAGCAGTATAAAATTAGTAAGATCACCTGATACTAACACATGCCGAAAACCATTTAGAAATTATGAGCGGCAGATTATATAATATTATAGGTGTACGCATTGTTATTATAGCTCTTGGTGCAGTATTATGTGTTCTACTATTGAAGCGCCTGTAAATCAATGGTTTGATATCCCTCTCTACATATTAAATTAATACACACACATTTATAATTATTTGTTCTAAATAAAAAAGATAAAATCTAATATAATGCAACTGGAAAGTAATTTCGAAATCAAATCCAAAAAGTTCTCTAGCAGCTGATTTGATATATATTTCTTGATTATCACATTCGTATCATTGTATCACATAATATATTAGCATTAAACAAAATTTGATTACGCACATTTGTTTTAAGTGCATCACTGTCTGAATCGAGTTGATCGATATCGTAATTATTATTCCAAACGCAGAAAATAAAAATTTAAAATCATTTAAGGATTAATAGTAATTGTTATGTAATAGTATTTTTCTTCAGTTTTCACTGTTTTATCATAGTTTAATAATGTATCTAAGTGACAGTATTAACATAAATTTATGTTGCTTAGTTCAAATGTTCAATGTTATAATTTTCCGGTGGTGCTGCCATATTACAGTGGGAGGACCTAATTGGTGTCAAGTATAATATTATGACGCAAAATGCGATATACAACCGGTTAATAAAAAGTTTTCATTTATAGATCTTGAATGAAAAAAATTAAGACAAATAACAAAATTGAAAAAAAAAATGTTGAAATGCCAAAAATTATAACGAATGTATCAATGTACTATATTATATTATAATATAATCGTATACGGTTTAATGTCCAATTTAATGATAATATATACATTTTAGCCTTTTAATATGAACTATATATAAGCGCAATATTATAAAACCTAATTCGTGTTTTTTTCTCCTAATATTTTCTAAAAATTAAACCGTAAAACAGTAAGACGCAGAATAACGCGACGTATAAGGTTGCGACTACTTCCACCGGATCTCGGTCACTCGTTTAGCAACATTTGGTACGATTCAACGCTCGTATTTCATTTTAGATTTGACGTAAATCCATTTACGGTGTCGTCGAAAATACTATAAATTCGGACGTTGTGTATAATGTATACACAGACACGCACAATTTTATTAATCGATCGGTGGGCGTGAACGTAAGCTTAATTTTCGCAAGTCAATATTGCAATATTGTCCTATTCAAACGGATTCAAACCGAAATTTCGCTGGACGTGACCACAACGACGACGACGACGACGCTAAGCGATAGTATACTCTTACATTTTAAGGCATATTCTATATTATTATATACTAAATAGACAATGCTATACGCCTGCGTACATTAACAAGTTAATAGGTTCAAGTTTATAATATCGTAAAATAGGTTTTAAAAACGTATGAGAACAAAAAACTTAATTGATTTTCGGTATAAATTAATTTGTTTTAATAGAATTTAACACATTTAGAACATAAAACAGTAATGAGTCGTGTCGGTCCGATCGAGATTAAGTTTGGAGTGGGCATATTTGGAGGACACTTGCTTTCCATACAAACCTATATACATTTTAATTGAGACTGTTGCAGACTCAATTATAAAATAAATGTACCATTTTTTATAAAATATAACATTTTGTTTCTAACTCTAAAGCATCGAACACACATCGATCGTTCACCGAATTCGGCGTGTGCGGCATTTCAGTCACGTGTATCTATAGTACCTAATCGCTTGGTTACCACGACTCTTATACCATCTTTCTGGTATAGCCCAGTCTATTACAACTTCCCTATACACTGCAGTATATATACATGATTATATTGTAGCGCTATAGTTGGCTAGGCTGCGTGCCTGCGTGGTATTATACCTATATAATATATGAAAACAGTTTTGGTGTGCTGACGAACCGGTCGGCCGTTCACAGCTCCTTTTTTATAACATAAAATAATATTGTATATTTATTAATCAGCCACGGTGGACATCATATATAATGATGCGTTTGTCGGCGGCGACCCATATTTGTCGGTATTAAGTTCGGCGCGACGGGGACGACCCGATGAGAGAAATCGCAAAATCGCCGTCCCATTATAATGACCAGGCGTATTCACCATGCAGCACGCCGATGAGGACTCTCTCGCGCACTGTCCGTTTTTCTCTTCTTTTGAAGTCTACCGCCGGCTTTTCCTTCTCGCATCCCATACCTCGATATAATATCGAGGTACTCGTTAACTATACCACGATCCACGGTAACGGTATGTGAAAAAAATATGCGATTTTTCACCTGTGAATCTCGCACGACACCGGACGGCGCTCCGACGTGTCGCGAGCTATTATAATATTCGTCATATTTTGTTTGTTGGTATTCACTGTACCTAAAGCATCGCCTCTGCAGTAATGTGATTGTGCTAATCTGCGAATATATTAAATAAAAAGTGAAACTGTTCATAAATACTAATCCGACTCTCAGATCCGTCTGTTTCGAACACGCAATGTATTTTAATGCAAAATGTACAATGTCCATAGCACATCATATTATATTTTTACGCAATATTATACCTAATACAATGTAACTCTATAGTGTAGTTACAGTGTATCTAATGAAAAACATTC